GCTATTGAAGTGGCACTGGAGATACAATCAAGAGGCGGCTGGCTTGTGGAAGGAAGTGATTCAAGCAAAGTATGGTAGTGATAGTTATTGGTGCTCTAATAAAGTCAGTACCTCTTATGGCACGGGGGTCTGGAGAGATATAAGGAAACTGTGGGAAAAATTCTTCAGTGATGCCTCACTTATGGTGGGAAATGGGGAACATATTCAGTTTTGGAAAGATATTTGGCTAGGAGACACTCCTCTAATGAGTGTTTTTCCAAGCATTTTCCAGATTGCATCTCATCCAGACTCAACCATCTCGCAGTACAGGGAAGACAATGTGTGGAATCTGATCCTAAGGAGAAATCTTAATGACTGGGAGTTGGAAGAGGTTTTTAGCCTTATGGCCACCATTCAGACTAGTGCAATCAACAGTCAACGCAGGGACAAACTTATCTGGAGACATAGCAGGGATGGATCCTACACAGTTAAAGCATGCTACCTTCAACAAAGCTCCAAGAAGACCGTAATTGATCAATGGCCATGGAAATTAATCTGGAGAACTAAGTTGCCACCTAAAGTTATTTGTTTCAGTTGGATTACTCTAAAAGACTCTTGCTTGACTCAGAATAATCTCATGAGGAGGAAATTCCAAATAGTCAACAGATGCTACATGTGCTTGTGCAACTCAGAATCTATTAATCACTTGTTCCTTCATTGCACAGTTGCAACAGGCCTATGGAACATGTTCTTCTCACTTTTTGGACTCACTTGGGTCATGCCAAGATCATTGAGAGAGGCTTTTGTGTGTTGGAGTTCTTGGAAAGTTGGGAAGTCCGTCAAGCATATCTGGTCTTTGGTTCCAGCCTGTATTTTGTGGTGCTTATGGATGGAGAGGAACAAAAGATGTTTTGATGGCACCCCAACTCCCATCTTTACCTTTAAAGCAAGATGTTTGATTACTCTTTTTGGTTGGGTTAATTTCTCTCCTGTACTTAGTGTCGATTCTTTCCTAGAATTTATCAGCTCCATAGATCTCTGCTGTTAGCTGTTTAGATAGCTTTTTTTGCCTTTTTGGGAGCTGATATTTCTTTCTTTTGTAATCTGTGCATCTGCTTGATGCTTTGTTAATGACATTCTTCTTACTTCATAAAAAAAAATAAAAAATGACATCATGTATGTGGAAGGGCATCTAAAACACTATTCATTAGAGTGAATCTGCCACCCAGAGACAAATATTGGTTTTTCCATCTGGAAAGTTTCTTCTCACACTTATCTAGAACCCCATTCCATATGTCTTTAGACTTGCTCTTTGCTCCCAATGCCATTCCAAGGTAGACAGTAGGTAATGTTCCTATTTCACCTCCCAGGATCTCAGAACATTAGTGGAAGTTCTGAGGATAATTGATGGGATACATCAAGTCTTTTCTTTGAGCCATTTGTTTCTTTTTAACCGCTCCATTGCTATCAGAAAAAGGAAAGGAGACAGAGGTTCTCCTTGCCTCAGTCCTCTGTGAGATTGAAAGAAACCTTCAAGTGAACCATTAATCAAGACTAAAAACTTGAATGCATTGATCCAGTTCACCCACTTACTTCCAAAACCCATTTTTCTTGAAGTTCTCAACAAGAATCTCCAATTCACATGGTCAAAAGCCTTTTTCTATGTCTAGTTTGCAAAGAATTATGCTTCCCCTTCCTAGAATCTGGAGTCTAGGCATTCATTTGCAATTAGGGCAATATCCCTAATTTGTCTTCGTTTGATGAGAACTCTTTGATGTGTGCCCACCAATTTATGCATCATCGCTGTTTTGAGCCATTCTGTTAGAAGCTTGAAAACAATCTCGGAGACACTGCCAATCAAAATGATAGGTCTATAGTCTCTGTGCTCCTTAACCCATCGGTGGCCCCATAAAGTGGACACTAATTTTCACTTAGACACTCCAACTAGACTTTGTTCATTTTAGACACCTCATGTCATGTCCCGCTGTGTCATTTCGACACTTTTTGCTGACATGACATAGTGAGTGATACACTCCTTACCGGAGCGTGGAGAGCTTATTTAACCTATTTTTATTTTATTTTTTCTTTTTCTTCCCCATTTTAGCCTCCATTTTCTAAAACTTAAACTCCTTCCATGGAGAAATAGATCTAATGGTGCTACAACACCAATAGATTTCAAGCTTAAACAACTTTTCTTATTTTGTTGCCATTCTTCCTCGAAATTTTTTGAAAAAAATCGAAATATATATATATTTTCTTAAAAGTTCTAGGAAATTCTTTTAAAAGGGAACTGTTTGTTTAGATTTGAAGAATTTAATTTTATTTGAAGTTATAAGTAAGACGAATTAGTTTTTGCAAAGAGATTGTGCTTTTGTAAAATGTTTTTTTTTTTCAAATAGTTATATTACTATGGAAGTATTTTGGAGAAAGACAATCTGGATTGGGGAGAGGTTGGGGTTCGGGGGGTGGGGGGTGGGAGGTGGTGGAGACGATGATTTGAGTGTGGGAGGGGTAGGGGGTTGTGGACTGTGAAGAAGACAATTTGGTGGGGGAGGGGTTGAGGATCGGGTGTGGGGGGTGGTGGAGAAGACAACAAAGGATGAGTTGTGCAAGTGGTTCATTTTTTAAAGATTATTTGGATAAAAATTGCCACGTGTCATTAAGTCATTGCATTCTTTTTATACTCAAAATTCATTATTTAAAAATTATTTTCAATATATATGCCACGTCTTTATTTAACTCGTCATGTTGACACGTCATCGTCGGTGTGTTACACACACCTTACACATTTGACTGATAATAAAAAAAGTGTCAAAATGACACACCGAAACATGACATGAGGTGTCTAAAATGAACAAAGCCTAGTTGAGGTGTCTAAGTGAAAGTTAGTGCCAACTTTAGGTGGCCACCAATGTGTTAGGCCTTTCTTTTAGGAATCAAAGCAATGCTGGTGGCATTAAGGCTTTTTAAAATTTTTTTTTTTTTTTGATGACAAAGGAAACCCGCAGCCGCTACCCTTTGGGTGCGCACAGGGTAAAACCCCCGCTCCTATACAATAGCTCGCAAACCACATAGGAGAGGTAGCCCACACTAGGCAAGCCCGGTGCGACGAGCTCAACCTAGAAGGCAAACCCCTTGCTTTCACTGGCAAGGGGTTTCGAACATAAGACCTCCAACATAGAAGTCCCAAACCCAAACCACTGGGCCACCCCGAAGGGTAAGGCTTTTTAAAAATAATTCTTGACTGTGAAAGTTCTGGATGGACATAATGTGTATTGATGACCTCCCAGCAGTGTATATGAAAACCCCTACTAAACCCATGTTGCTTCAATTTATTGGAACTACCTCTTCTGATTGTAGAACTTAGAAGTAAGATACTTCTCTCCCTTTGTCAATTCTTCATGTGGTATGTTCTTGTTAGGTAAAAGAGAAACTGAATAATAAAGACAAGGAGAGTAACATGAGGGTAGCAGTGAAATGGCCTGCAAAAGTTGTGTCAGACATAAGTGAAAAAACTGTTGGAGTGCCACATTGTTTGTGGGATGGGAACATGGACTAATCATATGGTCTTGGACAATCCTCCCCACTTGAGCTTAGCTTTTGGGGTTGAGTTGGCCCAAAGTCCATGTCTTTATCGTGATATGGGAGTTGGGCTCAAACCAATTCATTGTTCCATTCGGTGTTGCATCTCTTGTCTTATATTGTCCACGCTCCAAATCTGCAGTCCTAGCGTGCTGTGGATGTTGAGGCCCACATGGGTGGGATAAGGGAAATTTGGTCTCCTTGTATGGTCTTGGGCAATCCTTCACTCTTTTACCTTAGGCCTAAGTCAACCTCAAATTCTAGCTCAAGAGGAGAGGATTCCCCAAGACCATATAAGGAAGACCTAAGTTGCTCATACTCTTCACTTTTGGTGCCACACTCGTGTCGACACGACGTGGGTGTGGGATCCGTGTCCGATTTGGTCAACCAATTTTGGGTACTTTTATCAAACTCGATGGGGAAAGTGTGGACAATTTTGATGATTTTTGTAATCAATACAAAAGCTAAGGTGAAATTGAAGGAAATGGAATACCTTTTCTATAGAAATTTCTATGTCACTGCCTTTCCTTGGATCTCCTTCCATGATTCTTCTCAAGTTCTCCACATAATATCTCATAGTTTAGGTTTTATAGCTCTATTTTTAGATATTCTAATTATATTTAGGCGAATCCCCGCACCCGTATCCACACATGGATTCATATCCCTTGATCTTAAAAATTAGACCATGAAGGATCCGACCTTTAGATCCGCACCTGTATCGAACACCCACAATCGAGTCCGAGCAACTTAGAGGAAGACTAAATTTCCCTAATCTCAGTGGTGTGGACTCAACATACCCTCACATGCCTAGGACTGTTGTTCTGGAGCATGGTCAATACAAGATAGGGGGGCCAACATCAGATGAAATAATGAATTAGGTTGGCCATGGATCTGATATCATGATAAAGAAATGAACCTTAGGCCTAACTCAACACCAAAAGCTAGCTCATGAGGGGAGGATTGCCCAAGACCAAATTTCCTAAGCCCACCAATGTACGACTCAACAAAAGCACAGAAAAATTGGATTCTAATATCGTGGCTCTATTGCATTATAGATCTACCAGTGCAAGAAATATTGTTAATCTTGGATGAAAGAGAAGTGAGGGAATGCACTTTCTGCCGCACCTAATGAACTGGCAAAATATTAGTCTTGAAATGTTCTTGCCTAATTCTGTAAGATGCCCCTTTCTTGTTTCCCACATTATATTTTGTTGTGTGCCCTCTTAGATACTAGTTTAACAGCCACAAACCAAATTACCTTTTGAACATCAACATACTTTTTCTGTTTGGGCAGAAAAATTCTGCAAGTCAAAGCATCAGCTGAATGCCGATAGGCTGTCTGGTTTTCACTGTGATGTTGATGCAACTTGAAATTATTTTGTTACTGCTTTTGGCTATGAGTTGAATTCTCTGCTTACTTTTCTTTTGTTACTATTCAGGAGGCGTATCAAAGCCGGTACTTGACTTGGTAAATCCTCAAAAGAAGTAAGTTACCAAGAAACATAAAATAATTTCAGATTTCTTCAAATATCCCATGTTGTAGGGGCTTCAAAGAAAGCTTGTAGTTTAGGGTGGAATATTACTAACTTCTCACACAGTTTGCATTACTGTTATGTGTTGATATTGCATCCTTAGCAATTGACGTGCAACAAAAGATGTCCTGTTCAGGATTTAAACATTTTGTCTTTTCAGTTTCCTGCTTACTGATGGTTATTGAAATTTTCCTCTCAAACATAATGTTAGTAGCTTTTATTGTTTACCTGGAATCAGGGGGCTTGGGTGTTGGGGGAGGGGGACTCTGAACAAATATATTATGCAATTAAAGTTTTTGATTGCTTTTAATTTAAAAAACTTCTTGGATTGGTGTGTAGATGAAATGTTGTCTTTGACCTTTGCCTTCTATATCTGAAAATTAGTGGTTACTGCTTATGATGGTTCTATTATTTCATCCTCCTCTACTTTACACTATTATTGCCTTATTTGTGTTCCAACCATGTTCTCATATCTCAGAGGTCCGTGGGGGGCGCTTTCGCCAATTCCTGAAAATAATTGCGTGGCTGTTAATACTCAGGTATGTTATCCTCTCTATCTTTTTCTAAACCAGCCTAGCGGCTTCTTGATTGATGCTATAGGGTGAGAGGATAGAACTATAGGTAAGTCTGATTTCTGGTTATGCGTTAGCTGCTAGGAGGTAGATGTGAATCGTGACTTAGTAATCTTCTAATGTTAGATGCTTCTTAAATCTGAGAGGTAAAACCAGCTGTATCACTACAGATACTTCATTGTGAAGGAATGTCTTGGGTTCTTCACTAGATTATGATGTTCTTCTGAAACCTATCTGCTGTGCAGCAGTGAGGCAATAGTTTGTTTCATTTCATTTTTTACGAAGAAGAGAGCAGAGCATGGTAGTGGGGGAAGCTATCATTTCAAATCATACAATTTACTGAAGTGCTAAATATTGGATGAACTACAAAAGAACTTTATAGTAGTGGACAATGTATACTATACTCTTATTCATCTGTTTCTTTGATGCTCTGTGTGTGTTTGGGGGGTGGGGGTGGGGAAGGGGGGGTTTACAATCTCCTTTAGTACATCATCAACCTACTCCATTTGGAGTTGAGAATTGTGCATTTGATAATATAATACCAAATTTGGAGAAGGCTTTTGCAACAACCCTATGAGGTGGTAGGGAGAGAAGAATTAAGTAGTCATTTAGGCATTCATGCTGAGTGGACTTTGGGGTCTGGATGCCATAGTTGGAGCTGTTAGTTCAAAGCATGTGACTTAGCTAACTTTGTTTATACTTATGCGTTTAGCATTTATATCTCATGGATTCTTCTCTTGCTTCTCTCAAGTCCAGTTTCCTACCTCCACGTTGTCCTGTCTACATATGTTTATTTCATTTTTTGTGTTCTATTGTAGACCGGATCCATATTTGCTGCTTCTGGTGATTCTTGTGCATATTGCTGGGATGTGGTATGTATTTGTGCATTGTGCATGGTTGATTATGATATTATAGTATTTCTTAATTACTTCTTTCTTTTTGTTTCCACTAATGACTAGTCCCTACCTAATTCATTGCTTCTTCTTAAAAGGATTTTTTTTCTTTTTCCGAATAAAAGAAAAAAGAAATCTTCCAACTAAGACTTTTTTGGTGATAATGTGATTTAAATTATGGTGCTCAGGAGAAGAATGAAATAAAGATGGTTCTTAAAGGACATTCAGACTACTTGCATTGCATTGTTGCGCGAAATTCTCACAATCAGGTAAAAATTTCTGTTTGTCTCTCATGCATACACACTCTTTCTCTGTGGCTAGTCTTACCCATTTCCATTTTATGCACTTGTTAAGTACAACAGCACCCTTTTGTTTTTTAAATATAATATTTCTTGAAACTTCAATTGTACCTTGAATTTTGCCCAATTTTGCTTCTTTTTTTTTTTCTCTCACTCCCTCGGCAATTTTCAGGTTATAACTGGTTCAGAGGATGGGACAGCACGAATATGGGGTATATCTTTCATATTCCTTCTAATAATAGGAGCAGTGGTTATTCTTGCTCAAAAAAAAAGTAGGAGCTGTAGTTATAAAAAAAATTTGGAACACAAGGAATTTGCCTATTTTGCCTTCTATTGATAGCTTTGGGCTCTTCCTTACTTGGGAGTAACACATGATTTTCTCAATTTTGATCTATCTTTATGTGTTGATTATTGACTGCCATTTTATGAAATTGTCTTAGATTGCAGAACTGGTAAATGTATTCAAATAATTGATCCCCAGAAGGATAAGAAGTTGAAGGAGTTGTATCCATATGTCAGTTGCATAGCTCTTGATGCAAGCGAGAGTTGGCTGGTAAGAGTTCAGATGCCATTACCAAACTAACTTTATTGTCCATTTGCTACTGTACGAACTATAATAATTGTTGTTTGGTTAGAGCTGTCATACTGCAATTACTTTTGTTGCAATGGTCAGTGGGGGTTTGACCATGTAAACAGAATATTTTTCACTTTACTTGGAAAAGTCACATCTCAAAATACCCCTTAGACTGGCACCCGCTAACATCACCTGTCGAGCGAACCAATCATCCATTCACTTACCCAATCATATAAGCACTGAGAGCAATTACATGCAAGTCTGGACACATTAATAAAAATCAATAAATGGAGAATAATAATCCAACGAAATCCATAGTCAATCTAGTAATTCAAAGATCACTCATACTAGTTCTCTAGCCCTAATCAAACAATATGACTATGGAACATTTAATACTTAATAGAATGACATGCGTTTAACTGTCGGACATGCAAACCCAAGTAAATAAATAAATGACGTTAAATAAGGTAAGTTGAAACAACGGCCTCCACGAACAATGAAGCGGCTCACCTCAACAATAGAATCCACTCAACAAACTCTTTAGCCACTAGCCTCATCCATAACAATAATATGTCCATGCAGATAAGGAGTGAGTTATACATAATATAACCTAGGAAGTCTTTGACTCGCCACACCCTTCGGGGTGGCCCAGTGGTTTGTGCTTGGGACTTCCATGTTGGAGGTCTCAAGTTCGAAACCCCTTGCTTGCGAAAGCAAGGAGTTTGCCTTCTGGGTCGAGCTCGTCGCACCGGGCTTGCCTAGTGTGGGTTACCTCTTCTATGTGGTTTGCGAGCTATTGCATTCGAGCGGAGGTTTTACCCTGTGTGCACCCAAAGGGTAGCGGCTGCGGGTTTCCCTTGTCATTAAAAAAAAAGTCTTTGACTCACCACTAATACCCCTGGAATAAGTGTTAGAAAATACAAACACACCACGAGCACAAAATATTATGCACACGAATCATATCATAATAGAATATCCAACAAGTTCCAAACAATTGTTTATCAATAAACTATGTTTCTCAAAACAATTCAGACTAAAGACTTGTCATGAATTATAGTTAAAACAATTAATTAACACCATGAGTCCCCAATAGCATACACAATGCTCAGGGAAGCATACACAATGCCCCAGTAAAATCAAGAAGCATACACTATGCCCCAACCTCATGGCACAGCCATATCACATCACAAAACAATTTATAAAGAGAGTTTTCGTGTACTTGAAAATAAAGTATACGTGGCTGGCCTCAAAGACCGCTGACTCTGCCAAGCACACTCTCGTCCCAACATATATACCGGGCAGACAACATTTTTGAATCGGATTTGAAAGCAAGCACCCAAAGTGTGAAGTCTCACTTACCTTGGTAATGACACGTTCCCAACGTTGCAACACATAAAGCACCAACCAAACAACCTTCAAAGGTCTCAACTATGCAAAAACATTGATTAACTATATCAATTATGCTAGCGGGGGTTTTACCCTGTGCGCACCCAAAGGGTAGCGGCTGCGGGTTTCCCTTGTCATCAAAAAAAAATTTATGCTAGTCGAGGTCAAGTCTCAATATCCCTAGCTTGCAAGCTTAAAGCTAACTTAAACTCTCACATCTTAAACCATGAATTAAAGGGGGAAAATTATCAAAGTCCAACCTAATTATTCAATTATAATTTATATAAATTAATACCCATACTCCAAGAACATTAAGGGGTCGTTTGGATGTAGTAGAAAAAATAATTCATTCATTAGCTTTGGACTTTGTGTATTACTAATACCTTATTTGGTATTATGCTTCATATAACTAATACATGGGAAACCATGGTATTAGCAATGCAAGGGGGTTTAATGCATGCATTAGCATGAGTAACGACACAATTGCTCCTCAAAATCTTTTCCACATTTTTTCCACTATATTTGTGGGTATACTTGTAAACAATTTTTTTTTCTAGAAATATGCAATGCATGAAATAATCTCAGCATAGCTAATGCAAGCATAATTAATACACCATATATATCACTATTCTTATACACCCTACCAAACAACCCCCAAGTAAATACAGTATCTTTATAGCTAAAAGAATAGCATTCTAACAGTGGCTAAAAGAGACTGTTGAAAGTCGAAACCCTAACTAGATTTCTGGTGCAATTTTTGTACCCGGGCTCTCATTTGAGAATCCAAATTCCATTGCACTTTTTAAACTTAACAATATATAATTGCAGAATCAATCTCAATTAGCGACATTATCAAGCATTTTACTTCACTGCAACTCCACTGAAAAAGGTTGGGACTAGGTATTAAATTTTTACACTCAGTGAATAGTTATAAAAATACCTTCCATTGTCTTCTCATTGTTTCTACATGATTGGTTCATTGTTGAGCCATAATTAATTGCACTTCTTAGACAAGAGCATCAAGCAACATATATATAATTAATGCTAATGAGAGCATCACGACAACAAGAAATTTCAATACCTGGCTATGCAATCTCTACTGCACCAGCTTCCTGTCCTGCCCGTGAACTCCTTAAAACTCTTCTATGAGGTTGCTTCTTCCCGTTTAAAAAAACTAAGAGATCAGTTACCCTACTTTTTACTCCCTCAGTCGAAATGTGGCAGCAACAAGAATAAGAGAATGGGCTTGCCCACTCCTTTTAATTTAATAGCCCTAGTTAGAGTCAACTAAACAAGTAGAGTTGAAAACTTAGCCACTTATTTAGTCACTATCTTATATATAATAAAATTCTTTCCACTAGTTTAGTATTTGACCCAATAGCTATGAATAAAATTAATTCTCCACATCATATAAATAAACCAGGTTATTACTGACATACTGTAGTCTGTTTAGTTATAATAATCATGTCAATGATGACTGGTTTTGCTGAAGATGACAGTAAGATATGAATCTCCAACGCTTTACATACTAAAGTTATTTCTCTTTCCTTATAAAACAAAATAAGTTGGTATACATCTTTACTAGTCAAAGGAAAAAATAGCGAGGTGGGGTGGGGATGTGTGAACTACTTGCTGTCATTACATAGAGCATAACCTGTATTTGGCCTTGTAAAACTAAGTTTATGTTGAAATAACATGGTAACGAGAACAGCTTCATGCATTAGACGTAGAGCCTCGAGCCAGGTACTGTGTTGCTTGATTGCTAATGGACATCTGAGGTATTTGCCACTGTTGTGATGCCCCTAATCGCAAAGGACGAACAAGGGTCCATATGAGTACCTGCTATACAAATGGCTTGTGCTAATCAGATGACCCGTTATACATAAGACAATAGATAGATGCTATACATAAGGTGTGCTGGCCAATTGGCCACACTAATATAGTCGGCAACTGAAACTATAATTACTCATGACAACTTTAAATGGTCTACGAAGCCTATTAATGGAATCTATAACCATATAATGACAGATCACCGGGACAGGGCCGCCACATACCTAACTGTGACTATAAGTATGACTTAATGGTATTCGATATCTCTTGGCTCCAGATAAGAAATGGACCTTACCAACTGCTTCGCTAAATATGCAACAGCCTACCCAAACTTCATGTTGATGCATGTTTTGCATCTGACCATGCAATCTGTGTTTCAAGTCATCTCCTGGTTTGTTTCAAGTTGTTTCTTTTTTTCATTTTCTTTTGCCTGGTTTATTGTTGCTTCACACCTTTGAGGTTTAAATCAGAGAAATGAATATGCTCATCGACTTTTCATGCGTAAAAGTAACTTTCCCACATCAAGTATATTAATTATGGCCACTCTGTTTGACTTCACAGGCTTGTGGAAGTGGCCGGTCTTTATCTGTTTGGAATCTTCCAGCTAGTGAATGTGTTTCAGGTATCACGACAAGTGCTGCTACCCAGGATGTCTCATTTGATGATAATCAAGTGAGTTCTTTGACTTACATCAAATTCCAAGTAGTTTTGATGTTTCCTGTGTCTGTTCAAAGAGAGTTACAATTATCCTTTCTTTAAATCCCCCTTTTCCGATGGTTCCACTAATAAACTGTGTTGGTTGGCTGCAAGCAGTACTATAGGTCTTGTTAGATCAAATACAAAGTTGTCTGATCATTTCATCTAAAAGCTTAAGTGGTTAGAGAGAACATACTTTTATTTACTTAATTTGTATCTCCAACAGAAGCAGATCTAGGAGGAGGTGAGGGTGTTCACCCGAACCCCCTCAGCAAAAAATTATAGTGTATATGTAATGTAATTTTAAAAATTGTGTATTTATATAGATTTTGAATCCCCTGAATACAAAAGTAGAGGTTGACTTAGTGGTTTAGGGGTTCAAAATTCACCTTGAGGTTCCAAGTTCAAATCCTAGGTACTACACTTTTATTTTTTGAACCCCCTTAGTGAAAATCTTGTCACTAATCTCCAAGACGTCTACTTAAGTGTGCACTTAATACTTTTTCATGAGCCAAAACGTGGATATTTTTTTAATAATTGCCGACTATGAGATACAAACCCTGGAGCTCTATTATGATATCATGATAAGAATATGAACCTTGAATCTAACTCTAACTCACACCTGGAAGCTAGCTCATAAGGTGGGGATTGCCCATGATCATAGAAGGAGATCAAATTCCCATCCCACAACTGATGTAGGACAAACTCAATACCCCTGCACACCCAAGTCTTCCGTTGGAGCGTGAACAATATAATATTAGAGCCAAACATCGAGTAAATCACAAATTGGGATGAGCCTCATGAGCTAAAAGTTTATTTCCAATAACATGAATAATAGCTCTAATACCATGTTAAAGTTGTGTGACCATCTCATCTAAAAGTTTGAGTTGTTAGAAAGATCGTATTATTATTTACTTTATTTATATCTCCAACAAAGCTATTCATTATTTGATCTCCCCTATCTTCTTGTATAACATCTAAGAGTAGATAGCTGTAGCTAAATAGATTTCATTCTTAGTATTTGAACAAATCTAGTAATCACCGAGACTAATTAAAAGTGTGGGGCAAAATTCTCTCAGACACTTTTTTCGAGGTTGTCAATTTTAGTCCTTTTTGCAATTTTCACTCTCCAGGGGAGAAATTCTTCTCCGTCTGCGCTGGTCGGAGTTTTCAATAGATATGGGGGAAGATAGGATTTTTATAATGCAGGGTTTAAATCCTATGACATTATTAGGATTTAGGAGATATTTAGATTCAGAAGTATGGTTCGACTGGATTGAGCGCAACAGATAATTAATGAGACAAGTCACTATTAGCATTAATGTCGTGGTTGGTGTTCGTCTTCAATGTAGCTACAAAAGAAAAGAGGAAGACAATAAAGAGATAGAACATGAAGGACCACTTTTCAGAGTTCTTTTGTACTCTGAAATATAATGAAGCTGGTAGATACATAAGCTTCACAACCATTCAAGGGGGAAGGAAATCTATCATTATTACATCAGAGGGTCCTCTTAAAGAGGGTTAGGCAAATATTGCCCAAATATTTACTAATTTTATCAATGATACAAACCGAGTGAAGAACCCTATTCCTAGCAGAAATAGACAAATAGAAACGTCCTACAAGGAGGCTTTCAGAAACAATAGATGGATGACGGAGGAGACGAAAACAACACACATAACAACAAGGACATAATCAGATCTGTTGAGTCGATGCCTAGTTGGAAAATTCCAGTTGCCGCCAAAAGAGACGCCAACTCTGAGTGATGTGAGGAAATGGGCATGTAACTCATGGAAGTCAACTTTTGGAGTTAATGTCTTCAACATGAATGACTCTCAGTATCTCTTTGAATTCCCCACAAGGAAAGCCGCAGAACATACTTGGCCAAAGAAAAAGCTGAATCTCCAATGGTGGAATCCTACCGTTGGATGTTGGCCAGAGGAGATCAACAGGGATTTGGTCTGGGTCAGATTGCTGGGTTTACCATTGAATTTCTGGTTACAAAAGATATTTGAAGAGATAGGTAACTGTTGTGGTGGATTCATTGAAATAGAGGAGGAGACAACTTTGAGAAATCATCTTCACTAGGCTCGAATCAAAGTGAAGGGGGAAGGGGGATGGAAATGAGCTTCCTAAAAAGGTTGAAGTGGAAACTGAAGGTCTCATCTATACAATTCCGGTGTGGGTGGAAGCTCCGGTCAGTGTGAAATCAGAAAGAAGAAGAAGTGGGGGAGCCTTTGAATTATCCACAGGATAATAGTACAATGCCAACTTTTTTTGATAGAGATATGAAGGCTGACACCTGGGTGAAGTTGACAGGGCATGTGGGCACATTAGTCGATGGGGGAAAGTTTAGGTCAAAGGCACATGGGTGCCAAGTAACAGAGAGGGGCCTTTTAGAGATAATCTTGGACCTTTTACTCAGCCGCAAAACTTGGGCCCAATTTTAAGCCCAACAAAAGCAGACCCAAATAATTCAGACATTTCCCAATTTCTCTGAGAGTGAAGCCAAAACTATAGACCCAGTCACAATTGAAATCCAAGCAACCACACTTAGAGAAAGAAGAACAATATTGCACATTCAGTCATCTACAATAACTCAAGCCGGGAAGAAGTGAGTGATGTACGAGGGTGAGGAAGAACACACAAAGATTCAAGAAGATCAATTCAACATTTGTATGACTAATACAACAGTGCCAGGAAATAAATCAACTGAAATCGTGCATTTAAAGGAAAGCTTAAAGTAGACAAAGAGGAATCTAAGGCCTTGCAACTGAAGGAACCGGATGAAGCAGCAACTGGATCGAGACACCAAAACTTCAGAATGGATTCAACAACACTCATCAAACTAAGCACAAAATTGGGTGTAGATCTTAAAGGGTGTAGAATTATTTATGAAGATAGACAATAACAATCGGATGAACAAGGGGGAGCAAGCCATTGTAAAAAAGAAGGGGGTGAATGAAATGAAAGGGTCAGAACTTGATGCCAAATTCTATAGTTATGGCTCAAGAAGTAGGGGGAATACCTGGCAATAAAAGTTCAATGCAATTGGAAAGAGTGCCTTGGAATGTTAGGGGGCTATATATTGGCAGAAAGAGAAGGCTAATCAGAAACCGTCTACATACATAGAAAGCTGATGCAGTGTCTCCAGGAACCAAAGCTCATGGGGGATACCTCAAAGATATTGAAGGAAGTTAGGGGGGACAATTGGGTTAGCCATGCCCAATTGGAAGCTAGTGGGACTAGGAGCGACATTGTTATAATATGGGACAAAGGGAATGGGAGATTAATTATAATGTGAACTACTTTACTAGGGTTCTAGTTAAAGAAGTGTTATTGACACATGAGAATTTGAATCAGAGAGATGCGGGGAACAGGAGGAGACAATCAACCATCTTTTTATACATTGTATGTGGACAAACCAGTTGCGGAAGATACTCATTTATCTGAGGAGGACTAAATGGGTGAGGTCAGGGAACATAAAGGGATTGCTAAACTGCTGGAACACGGATGTCAATGCAGCCAAAAAGGAAGGAAGATGGAAGATTGTCCATGCATGCATTTCGTCGACAATGTGGAAAGAAGGGAATAAGAGATGTTTTGAAGACAAGTAGAGCAACTTGCAAGAGTTCAAAATGATATGCTTAGCTCTAATTTATTTTTGGTGTAAACAAAAATAAATAGCTCAAATAGATTATATTTTTGATGTTTTAGACTATTCATAGGAACGACATATAGATGTTCAAGCTGTAAGTTGTACTTTTGAAGGGGCACTACATACTTTGATGTAGTATATCTGTGGACAGATAGATTAATTGTTGCCATTCTAAAAAAATAGATTTCATTCTTACAAGAAGTGGCACCTCCATATGTAAAGACTGCAATGTTTATAATGGGAAACCATGACCACAACTAGTTTTGACTGTAAAGCGAAAGAGTGAGGAACAAAGAAAAGTTTTGTGGAATTGATAAATCAATGGTGCACACAAAATTATACAAACCAAATTACATTTAAGAACATAGTACAGAAGGAGGGAGCGAGATCGGGAACATGAACTTAAAAGCATAAACAAATACTTATGGGCGTGTTTGCTATGAAGAAAAATGTTTCCAATGAAAAATATTTTTGTGGAAAATAAGTGGTTTTCTGACTTATTTTTTAGTGTATGGTAAGTAAGCAAAAAATATTGTCCCAAGAGCATTTATATGTAATCTAGGAAAATATTATGGGGTGGGGTGGGGTAGTTGGGGTCAGGGTGGCAGGGGTAGGGTGGTCAAGTGGTGCAAGTTAGGGGTATTAGGGTATGGACTGTGGAGAGCAGAGTATGAACTTGGAATGCCACGTATGGAACTTGTTTCCCTTACTCCATTCCACGTATGGAACTTGTTTCCCTTACTCCCATTGGGGAAGTCATTTTCCTTGTTTTAAAAAATCTTTTATTCCTAAAAAAAGATTTTTCGGACATTTTGACCCCAAACAGACGATTGGAATAACACTTTTCCATACCAAACACACCAATAGTGGAAAGTAATGACAATTGCATTAGAAAATTAACATGTGAAGTTAGTTATGTCTCACAACCTAAGACCTCAACTACAAGGATTGTGGAAGGACATTGAAATAGGGAACTTAACATTTTTTTCAAGAATGGTAAGAAGAGCTTAGTTGTTCGGGTGTGGGCGTTTGATATGGGTGCAGACCTAGAGGTCAAATCCTTCATGATTTAGATTTTAAGATTTAGGGGTATAAATCCTGATACAGATGTAGGGTTCGACTAAAAATAATTCAATTTTAAAAAAAATAGATTTATAAAAATATGCCTTAATTATAGTGGACTATTTGGAAGGAAAGGAATGCACGAAATTTTGAGAGCAAGTTTGGGTTTATTATTATTATTAAGTACAAATGCATTTCTTATTGTTTTTTCCTATTGCAAATGATATAGAGGTCATGATGGACTTCTTGAGGTCATTC